CAGAATGGACTCTCTGGGAAGGCTAGAGAACACTGAACAACCATTGATTCAGCATCTCTCTGCTATAGTTTCCAGAAACTGAAGGAATCTAAAGTAAGGAAGGGTTCTCCAATAAGTTCCTTTTCCTTTAAAATCACTTTCCTTTAAAGTAGGTTGTTCAGAAACCATACTTTTTCCTGGGATTTTGATTAAGATTCCAAGTATAAAAAAAAAAAAGATGTTTCATACCAACAGCTCTGCTAAACAAAAAAAGAAAGAACAGATAAAAACTCCATGAAAAGCAAAAATTAAACCATTAAACCAGAAGTCATATGATAAAATAACATCATACTACATCAAAAAAAAAAAAACCAAACAGAAAAATGAAGTTTGGCGTGATTTCCACAAATAACTGTATTTGTTTTACTGAACAACTACAGATCATTCTGATTTATTCACTTTTCCCTCTGGAAATATGTACAAATACAAGTGGAAGAAAATTTCAAATAAGATATTAAAGGTGTAAAGCTGAAACATTAAAAGTCTTTGTTCTCATAGCTACCAAACACAACACACAACCCTCCCCTGCCTTAAGATATGCTTGAAACTGTGTTATCTGGTCATGCAATCAAATAACTTTTTGTATGTAAAATGCTACTACTAGATTTTTTTAAAGAGGTGAGTCCCTAAATCTCCAGGAAAGACCAAAGTCTCTGTGAATAAAAGAACAGTTTAAACAGAAACTTAATTCACTAAATAAAAGGTAGATTATACCAAGAAAAAGAAAAAGTTCTGACATTAGTTCTAGGATGGGGTCAGAGGATTCTGGCTACCCTTTAATGAAAGCCTTTGGTTTTTGCCCAAAGAAGCAAAGTAGCATTAAAAAGAGAATAAAACGGAAGTTTCACTAGAATAAGGACCTAGACCTGGGTCTACTGCCTAGTAATGTTCAATAAATATTTGCTAAATAACTGAATAAATATACTCCTCAATCTATCAAGAAGAAGCCTGAATTATCAAAAAGTCAGACAGTATAGACTAAAGGACTTCTGTAAGACTTTTGCTGAAGCTGAAGAAAGCTAAGCTCTGTATAACCATATATATATAATAACCATATATATGTACATATGTGTGTATATACACATATACATACATACATGCTGTGCCTTCTGAGTCCTCATGTACACAAGGCGTTTCTGTTCACTCTGTAGCCTGACTGAAGAGTGCATAGCTTCTTGATTATCAAGTTATCATACACAAGCCAAAAGAGGGAGAACTTCAAAATGTGCCTTAAAAAAGAAAAATAAATGAATAAGACTGCAACAAACTTTTCTGCACAGCAAAAGGAAACCATAAAAAAAAATAGAAAGGTAACCTACTAAATGGAAGAAGGTATTTGCCAATAATACATCCTATAAGGGGTTAATATCTAAAATTTATAAAGAACTCACACATCTTAATACCAAAAAAAATTCAATTAACAAACAGGAAGAAGACCTATACAGACACTTCTCCAAAGAAGACAGACATACAGATGGCCAATAGACATATGAAAAGATGCTCAACATCACTAATCATCAGAGAAATGCAAATTAAAACCACAATGAGATATCACCTTATACCAGTCAGAATGGCTACCATCAATAAATCAACAAATAACAAATGCCAGTGAGGATGTGGAGGAAAGGGAACCCTTGTGCATGGTTGGTGAGCATGCAGATTTGTGCAGCCACTGTGGAAAGTAGTATGGAGTTTCCTCAAAAAACTAAACTTGAAACTGCCTTATGATCCAACAATTCCACTTCTGGGTATTTATCTGAAGAAACTCCGAACACTAATTCATAAGAATATATGCACCTCTATGTTCACTGCAGCATTATTTATAATAGTCGAGATATGGAAGCAACCCAAGTGCCCATCCATAGACAAGAGGATAAAAAAAGAGATGGTATGTTTACAATGGAATATTACTCTGTCATAAAAATAAGAAAATTTTACCATTTGCAACAACATGGATAGACTTACAGGATATTATGCTCAGTGAAATAAGTCAGTCAGAGAAAGAAAAATACCATATGATTTCACTTATACGTGGATCTAAAGAACAGAATAAACAAACAAGCAAAATGGGCTCATAGACACAGACAGCAGATGGGTGGTGACCAGAAGGTAAGGGGTTAGGGGATTGGGTGAAAGAGGTGAAGAGGTTAAGAAGTACAAGTTGGTGGTTACAAAATAGTCATGGGGATGTAAATAAAGTACAGCATAGGGAATACAGTCAATAATATTGTAATAACTATGTATGGTGCCAGATGGGTACTAGAAATATCAAGGAGAATACTCTGTAAAGTATGTAATTGTCTAACCAATATACTGTATACCTGAAACCAATACAAAATAATATTGATAGTAAACAATAATTGAAAATTAAAAATTTAATGTGCCTTAAGCTCTAGAGCTTGTGGTAAAAGGCTGATGTTATCTGTGCACTAGAACATCAAAGTTCTAGAATCTTAGAGTTTTATTTTTAGAAATGTAAGGCCAGTTTTTTTATGAGAAAGAATACTAAGAGCCAAAGCAAAATTTCAAGAATAAAAATAGTGATATTAGAGGAAAGCAATGAGGGCTGGCAGGTAGTTCTGGAGTTCCCACGATGACATTTGCTTCTGATCATATATACACAGTTGACCCCTGAACAACATGGGGGAGTTAGAGGGTGCCAACCACCTGCATAGGTGAAAGTCCATTTGTAACTTGAGTCAACCCTCTGCATATGTAGATTCCCAACTGTGGATCAAAAATCCAAGGTTAGCCAAAACCTGGGTATATGAAGGGCTGACTGTATACTTATTGAAAACCATCTGCATACAAGTGGACCTATGAAGTTCACACCCATGCTGTTCAAGGGTCAACTGTAATTTCCATTTTTAAAGGCTTTTAAGAAAGGACATAAACCATATTCACTTTATCTTAATTTGTCATCCAAAGGCGTGTTTTCCAGTTTTTACAGTCTTGATTACCAGAAACAAGAAACAGGTCTTTAAAATAATTCTTTAAGTTCCTGACTACTTTAATTCGCTCTCTGGCCCCAGTTAGTGTGGAGCATCATCCTGTAAACTGAAAGGTTGTGGGTTCAATTCCTGGTCATGACACATGCCTACGTTGTGGATTCAGTCCCCAGAGTGCAAGGGAGACAACCAATCTCTCTCTTTCTCCCCCTCCCCCACCACACTTTCTCCCTTTCTCTCTGAAAAAAAAACCCTCATCATCTCTAAAAAAAAAGAAAAAAATCTCTCTCTGAGCCCGAACACATTTTAATAGAAGATCCCAAGCAGTTCTTATTCTTCTTCATACCTAGGCATACTTACTTTCCATTGTCAAGTAGCCTGATTTATCTATACAATAATCTATTATGTTTGCAAAGTACAAGAAATGTACAAAATTAGATATTTTGTTTACATGCCCAACTTCCCTTTAACGAAATGTGTACTACAGTTTGATACATGAATTCCAACACCACCAAGCAATTAAATTGATCTATCTACCTGAAGATAGATCACAGATGTCACACATTAAAGGTTCAGTCCTACAAGACTTCCCCTAGACACCCAATTTTAGATGCCAATCACAAGTCCAGACTGTTACCTGTGCTTCTAACCAAGCTGGCCATAAATTAAAGGTTTCCATAGACCCTCCTCAGGATCAATTAAGTTGGGAGATGTGAAGGGCAAGACCAATCAAGTACATAAAACAACATGGAGTCACTCATGTCAATCAAGATGGCTGCTAGTCAGCTATGACACTTTGGTTCCGGAGGGAAACTTGTATTTGCTGTGCATGATGCACTCCCATGTATACTGCACACCCATGTTTTTGGCCCAAACTTTCAGAAAAAAACCCTTTTGTTTTAATTTTTTTAATTCAAATTTTTACTTATTTATATTTATAAAACAAATTATCATAATCCAGAATATTATTTTGTATATGGATATTGTTATTGCTTTCAGGAGTTGTATTTTTAATGCATAAGCATAAATAAAAGAAGTTAAAGTGTTTATATAGATAAAGAAGTAGTACTATTACATATAATGCACATCCTTATTTTTTCCTCAAATTTTGGACAAAAAAGTGCACACCATATACAGCAAAATACAGTACCTAAGTCATGCTAGACACAATTGGCATGGAGACACACCTAAGATATCTGCACACATGATCAGAACAGCCATGTCTGCAGAGTGGGACCACCCATAGATAGGTTCCTGGGGAAATTCCCCACTTGCCATCAGGGGTGCCAACATACTTACCAAGAGGCCCAGAGGGATGAGTCCACCACTTTCAAGGTATAACTGAGGCAGGCCACTGCTGAGACAGCTGAGCTCCACACACCAGAGTGCTGCTCAGCTCCACTCCACAGCACAGGGCGCCAGAAGCTCTGCCCTGCCCTTTATAAAGGAATTATAAATTAATTGTGTCCCCATTACCAACCACTGAGAGAGACATATTCTTACCCATTTATAAAAATACACACAAAGGCAGACAGCTACATCACCACATGTTCCCAAGCCTCCAACAACCAACACACACTAGGGGAGCACTCTAAGAAAGACACAGACCTTCAGAGAGATCCTAGAGAAGAGACAAAAAGAACAAAAAGTGAAGAACAAGTATTACTTGGAAAGGATGGACAGTTACTCAGGACTGGCGGCCAGTAGCACATCCCCACGTGCCCGGTGTCAGGCAAGACAAGACCAGGGGATCCCACTGGAGAGTTAAGTGCGCGTGTGTCTCTCAGACACACACACACACTGATACACACGTGATCTCACAGTCTCTTACAAGTCCAATCTCGTATACACACTCTCTCACACAGGCAGTCAGTTAAGGTACACTGTAGATCTGACAAACGCGCGAAAACACACCTACCCCGGGTCTCCCGTCTCGCCGACGCCCGTCGGCCCCGCCCCCGCCGTGGCCCCTCCCCCGCGGGCTCCGCCCAGGCGGCTGGGGGTTGAGGCGGAGCTAGTACTCCCGGCTGCCGGGACGGCGGGCTCTCGGGGGAGACTTCGGTAGCGAGCCCGCGCCGCTGATCCGCACGGGTCGCCAGTGCAGGGATGTGCTCGGCCCGGGAGCTCCTTGAAGGCGGAGGCGGAAGCGACAGCAGCAGCGGCGACGCTGGGGCACGCAACGAGGACGGGGACACGCTGGCCGAGCCCGCGGCGGCGGCGGGGACCGAGTGGGAACCCGGGGCGAGCCCGCGGCAGCGCGGGCGGCGGCCACCAGAGAAGCTAGAGCAGGTGAGAGTGGGGCGCGGCGGCTGGTGTCGGAGCTGCACCCGCGGCCGAGGGCGTGGCCCCGCGGGCCCGCGAGCCGGCGTCCGCCCGGAAGAGCGGTTAAACGGCCGCGCTCCGGCCTGCCTCGGGGCCTGGAGCCCTGGTCGGTCGGCACATACCTCGGAGTGTCCCACGTAAACACTCCTTTTTCAACTGAGCTCTGTCCCCGGGGGCTGCGTGTTAGGGGACCGCCGCCCGCCTCCTGCCCTCCAGCCTGGCGTTTCTGAACGCACCCCTGGTGTCGCTGTGAGGTGTGGGTGGGGTTCTCCGCACGTTCGGCCGGTGCCTCTGACACGGGTATTGCGGTAGCCGGCTTGGCGGGGGCTATCCCGAGGCAAGTTCTTCACGGGATCGGGACAGCTAAGCTTCATTTTAAAAGTAAAAAAAATAAAATAAAATAAAATAGTTTTCAGTCTGTACCAAAGGCATTCTAACACATCAGGTATGTTCAAAATTAGGCAAGAAATTTAATTTAAAAAAAAAAAAACGAATTACAGGTGGAATGAACTTTCGCCAGAAAATATAATTAGACATTCAAAAATACCCGAGATAAGCCAACCATCAGAATTACATTAAGGAGCAGGAATTCACATGATTATTTGCCTTTACTGCAGCCTATACTGTTGGGAAAACCAGTTGACACCTGTCTCCTGTCATTATTATTCTTCATATCTCTTTTTTTGTTATTTTACAAACTCCCAGTATCAGCACTAAATGCGTTAAGAGATTAAGTGCAACTTCTAGTATGTTGTTATTTTATTTAGGAAACAAATAAGAGTGTAAAGCGCACACAAAATATGCCTTAGCATTAGGCTTGCTCATCGTATGGAAGTGTAATTTTTCATCTTTATGACAATATAAGACCTGGTGACTGAAGCAAATGAATGGTAACTAGGAAATCTTCCTGATTCTCCTCATGGTGGTTTTCTGCATTAATCATACCATAACTCAGTAACTAATGTGCTTAGTTTCCTCTTATTGTTCAACTGGAAAGGTAAAGAAAAAGGCAATGGAAACCCACTGGGTGAAGGCAAGAGTTGAGGGGTGGGAGAAGTAAGGATGCATGATGCATTTGAGCTAAGATTCCCAGGGTAAATTTTCAAGTGGTTATAAGAGAACATGTAAAATACACTTTATTTAAGATTTTGTGGTTTTCACATCATCAGTTGCTCTGGTCTCACCAGCACTGCTTATGGTACAAAGAAAAAAGCTAAAACAAAGAAGAATGAAACAATATATTCTAGAAAACATGTATCACTTTGCATACCTGCTTCTTTTGTTACATGTCATGGGAATTCATTTTCCTGTACTCCTTTGCAAGTGTTATTTTATTTTTATCACAGGATTTATTTATGTGCTCTAAGTCTACATACACAATAATTGAAAATAACACTTGAGATATGCATTTCCTCCTACATCAGCACCAAAAAAGAATTTATCAAGAAGCCAAAAATAAACAAAAAAATTGGTACAACCCAATTCATTGGTGTAAGAAGCAAGTGTCTGTGATTAATCATTTCTTGGTACTATATTTTAAAGGCTTGTTTTCCATTTTTAAACTGCAAATGAAATTTAAAATGTTGTGTACACTGCCTTGTATTGATGGTAGAGATAACAACAGATACAAAGATATTTGAGGGAGAGAAAAATGGAATTAACAGCTATAAAGCATATCCTAGGGAGTTGTTTTATTTAGTTTTTCTTTAGGAAGCCAGTATGTGTTTTTTTATTTTAAGGGCAGGTGAACTGAAAATTACAATATTTCTGAAAACTTGGTTGTAAACTTGTTGTTTAGAACTTCAAGTGCACTTTTCCATAGAAACAATGATATAAACTGAAACAGACCACAACTAATTAGCTGGAAATGAGGCAGAGACAGTTGTCCTGCTGTCCGTTGTGCTTAGCAGGATCACTTGGTGTCTCAGAGCTGCGTAGCCTTGCACACACAGGGACAGACATGGCTGCAGCAGTGGTGGTGGCGGCAGGAGCAGCGCAGTGGCAGCTCCTTTATATCTGGGACAGGTTAGGGTGGCGTTCTCTTTACCACCATAGCTCCAGAAGGTACCTGACTTTTTTCTTCCAGCCCTTTCAGTGATTTTTGTCAACCCCCAATTTTCTGTATTAAATCCCTTTCTATGTCTATTTCCTTCACAGAGTTTTGCTCTTACCTGATAATTTGATGAAGTAGGTTTCTTCCCCAGGCTAATTTTCCTTTGCTGATTTTTCTTTCCTCCTCTGTCTGAAAAGCACTCGCCCTTCCCCCAAACTGTAAGATTCTTGCATCAGATTTGACTGTACAAAGTCTGTCTTTGGCTCATTGTTATTAAGATACTAAGTCAAAATGTATCTGTACTTGGGTGTTTACTTCACAAAATACTGAACTACTGGTATTAATATAGATATTTTAATAACAGATATTTTCAGCCTCATTTTTGTAATTTGTCTTTAGATGTCTCTCTATCTGAGGGAAAACTAAGGTTCCTCTGTCCTTTTGGCTTGAGTCTTTCCAAATGATTGACAGAGGAGGCCTGGTTAAACTCAAGTATCCTAGGAAAGGAGGACTCTAAAGAATGGACCAGGTCCTCAAGATGAAGGAATTATGTCAGAGAAGGAATTATGTCAGGCCTCTCAGAGAGATACACAAGGAAAAGAAGCAAAATGCCCGAGGAACTGAATGGATAGGGCACAGTTCTCTTACATGTGTGTTTACAAAGAGGTAAAGCCTCTTTGTAATTGTGTGCATGAGAGATTATCCAAGTGTGTTTGTGACTGTGAAGGCCGTGTAACTTTATGTATGAGAGTCTGCCCCACTGCATAGCTGGAAGGTTAAACATCTCTAGTCCATTCATTATATGTCTGTATTGTGAGTGGCATCCCCTTAGACACAGCAGTTCGTCGTCTGTATAACCTAAGACAGCCTTGCTTACATGGAGCATACAGAAATCCCATTGTCCTCAGATTGACTTGGAATCATTATCTTTAGCTTTAAATTTTTTCTTTATAATTATAAAAGTAATGTGTACTTTAGAAAATGCAGAAATATACAAAGATCTAAAGAAAACAAAAGTATTTCAAATCCCACACTGAAGAATATTTTGTTTTAAAATTTCAGAATTTGGTATTAAAACATTAATGTATCTCTATATGTGCATATGTGTATATATACACAGATATATTTTAAACATAATTCAGTGCAGTATCTAAATTTGATATCTTGTTTTATCTGCTCTTCATGTTTTGTCATTTTCCCATGTTATCAAAAGTTTTTTTGAAAAATTTTTGGGGCTGCCTAATAATCCATTCCTCCAATACTGCGCATTTATGTTTCTTCAATTTTTCTTTTATAAACAATGCTATAATGAAAACCTTTGTAAATACTCACAGTTCTACCTTGAAATAGATTCCTAGAAGTGGTTCAGTAAGTCAAACTCTTTAAAGCCTCTTGAAATATCCTAAAGAATTACATTCAAGAAACAGCACACCAGTGTTCGCTTCCAGCATTTGTATGTTAGAGTGCTGATTAGAAACCATTCATGCCAGCAAATAACAGTGTAATTTATAGATTAATCTTTGCCAGTTTAATAGGCAAAAATTATCTTACTGTTGTAAGACATTGGTGCAAAGGTTTTTTAAACCATATACAGGAGTAGGCACAAGTAGATTTACGGGTGTTCATATGGAAAAAGGTGATACAAATAAATAATACAATAATTAATAAGTAGTAAACACTAGTAGTAAAATAGTAATAAATAGTAATACAACTCACAACTGTAAGCCTACATTTGCTCACTGTTGTATGTATGTATGCGCACATATTTGTATTTCTTTTTAATAACACTCTTTGATATTTTCTTTTGGCATTATTATATTCATTACTCATTTCACATTGATTTGAAATATTTTCTCTGTTTGCTGTTTACTTTATAACATTATGCTGTTTTGATTTAGAAATCCTTTAAATTTTTATTGGCAAAAGGCATTTTTTATTTCAAAGACATTACACATACTCACATATACACACATATACACTCCCCATATACATACAAATATCTATATATATTTGTTTAGAGCATTCTTTTTCATTCTAAAGTTATTTAAATATCCACCAATATTATCTGTGTTCTATGCATGTATTTATGGTTTTATATTTTTATCCTATGTATTTAATCACTTTAGAATGACTTTATGTATAATGTGAGGTATTGAGCTAATCTCTTATGGTTTTATAATCATTGAAAATCCATTTTGTTCCTGGCTTTACAATCTTTATAATAGATATAAATACTAAAGTCTGTATTAAATTTTTATATTTTTGTTGGTATTATGAAAGGGATTTTTTCCACATTATGTTTTTGCTCCTGGTTTCTAGCTGTTGGTCCTTATAGAGTTTTTAACTAGCTACCTTTCTGAATTCTTTTATTAATTTTAATACTGATAAATATTAGTGTTTCTTAGACTTGACTTTTTGTATCTTCCAGGTATATAATCATCCAGTGTATAGACAAGGTTGATTTTGCTTCCCTTCCAGTGGTAATGCTTCATTCTGCTTTTTGCAATGCCTGGAACTTTCAGATCAGTGTTGTCTCGTAGATATTTAAGCAAGTTCATTAACCTCCTGGCCTTCAGTTTCTTCATCTATATAATGGCAATCATAATTGTGTGAACGTCAGGGTTGTTGGGAGAATTACAAATTAATAATACATGTAAAGTACTTAGAGCAGCCCCTAGCACATAATTAGCATGTGAATTAGCTTTTGGACCTAATTTTCAACCAGAACACTGACGGAAAGAAACCTAAAAAAATGCCATTATTAGGTTTTGCGGACTCTGCAGTCAGAAGGTCACCTTAGGAGGAAAGGGGAATAGAACAGTTCTCAGCTTTAATCTGCATACAGAGGTCTTGTTAAGTGCAGATTGTAATTTCATTGGTCTAAGGCGAGGCCTGACATTTTGCATCTCTAACA